CTCCAAAACAGTGGCACCAGCCATGTGAACAGCCCCCAGCGCATCATGCCACGCATATACTGGACTTGCAGGAGCCTGCTCTCTGCAGGTTCCTCCCATATGCATTGTTTTGAAACACAGCATGTTACATCTCCAGAATTGAAGCAGGTGCCATCCATCAACGCGCCCTTCACACTTTTGACGCCTACGATCGCCTACGTATATTTTAGGAACCGAACAAAGAACAAAACGGTGATATGCCAACCTTGATCCTTGAATCTTCACACACATTGACATTCACACATATAATTACCATAATTACCTCCAATATTACCTACTGTACATCAACCTACAATATCAAAGAAGTTGGCCTTCGGTGCCAAAGATTGGTCTTGTGCAGCTTGCGCTTCCAACTCGGCCACGCGAGTGTGAGCAGCTGACAGCTTCGCCTGCAACTGCCTCAGCTTCCACATGCTTCCACCATCTTCCACCGTTCGACTTCTGATGGAAGAGCACTTTGCCCACAGGCTTTAGATCATCTAAGACTGCAAGGCTCAAACCAGCCAAACCGGTTCAAGTCTCGAACTCATTCACTATAAAAGGTCCAATGCAATCTGCACGATTGGGAACCTCTGGGTTTTGCTGCATTCCGGAAATCGACGTGAACTGCGAACCACTTGGGATTCATTTGGACCTGGAGGCCCTGCGCGTTGTGCGAGTACTCCCTGGGCACCCGCCAAGTGGCATAATCTCCTCAGACCCTTTGCTCTCTGAGACCTTGCGCTCCTGAGAGGTTGAGAAACAAACTGGCCTATGACATGCTTGATTGTCAGCATGTCTCTTCAACTGGATTCAGGTAACTGGCACATATGGTATGTCCAAAAAACTTAATATATAAGCATGTCCACAAATCTAAAATAGTTTGGACTTTGCATGTGGGTCACGTGTAACGCTTTGAATTCAAGCTCGAACTTCAACGTAAAGCCGTGGAACTGATGGCTGCACATCACCGAAGTTGAAATCATCCCAGCCGTCATCGCCTGCCAAACTTGC